TAATAATAATAATAAATGAGATGTAGTAGAGAAGCCATTTTCATAATAGGCCTCATTTAGTATGTTACAGAATGAAAATGTTTAGATTGTTTCCCTCCTAATGAGATTAAATTAGTGTCAGAAGTCCTAAGTCATGATAATCATATTTGCCCTTGAAAACGTGTCTTGCCCTGTCCCTCTAAGCATAGCTAATGCTGTAGCGCTTATTGTAGGTGGCTGAACTGGTAAAGGAGCTTCGCTGTGAACTAGACCAGCTCCTCCAGGACAAAATTAAAAACCCGACCATCGACCTGTGTACCTGTCCTCGAGGTTCCCGGATCATCAGCACAATTGTGAAACTTGTCACCACACAATAAAGACTGTCCTAGAAGAGTGCTTGCTCCTCATCCACCTCTTGGTCCCCTGGAAGCCTGGACATCACAGCAGCACTTCTACCTCGGACTAAAGACCTGGGGCTGGCCCTAGGGGGTGGGGGTTGCAGGGCCTAAGGGCTGAGCCAGCTGAAGAGACATTATCACACTTGGCATTTCAGAGAAAGTAGGGACACTCCCAGCACAATTTGGAGTGTCAGTGGTGGGATAATATAAAACCCAGCTTGCCTCTTTTTGCCTGTGACTGTTCTAAACTGAATGAAATTCACCTAATAACATAAAAGTGAATGTTTAATACAACTCTGTTTTAATCTATGTATTATTTTTTCCTCCTGCTTTTTATTATGCATTGTCTATATATAATTGACATACTCTTTTCTCCTGGTTTTTATTGGGCATGAGGAGAAATAGTTGTTTGGTTTTATTTTGGGGTTTTTCCCCCATCATAATAAAAGCTTAACTGAGAGAACTCAGATAAGAGAAGAAATCATGTGAGCAAGAAAAATAAAAATTTCATTTTAGACTATTGACTACAGAGTAAACTTGATTTGTAAGGGGTTTTTATTTTTACTCATTAAAGGTCAGCATAAAAAAAATTTAGAGTGAGATCCTATCTCCACAAAAGAAAAATAAATAGATTCACATGCAAAAAAAAAAAAAAAAAGATTTCTGTGTGAGTACTAAAATGCAAGCTGGGCTCATCGGTAACACATTAAAAGAGGAACCCTGTGTCTTAATTCTCTAACACCTCCATTGAAGAATCTTTGCTCTCACCAAATCCACTGGCCAAAAGGGGAATTTTAATGCAATTAGCATTTTAATGCAGGAGAATTGCAATGGTGTTTTCCGAGTAGAGTTGGCATGATTACAGAAGAAAAAGTTGCATGATAGTGTTACATTTACAGCATAAAAATGCCTTCTATTGGGCCCAGTAGGGCCCACGCCTTTAATCCCAGCAGAGGCAGGCGGATCTCTGTGAGTTCAAGGCCAGCCTGGTCTACATAGTGAGTTCCAGGTCAGCTGGGGCTACAGGGAGACCCTGTCTCAAAAAGACCAAAAAAAAAAAAAAAAAAAGCCTTCTAATGACATTACATATTTTCAACCACCACTTAGGTTACTGAGTATTATTGGCATTTTGAAAAAAATACATTTGCCTATTCCCTGCATATTTATCAGTGTGACCAGGAAAGATCCCAAAGAGCCAAGTGGAAAAAATACTGTATTTGTCTAGACCTCTTACTATTGATAGGATTCAAACTAATCAACAAAACTTGGGACTAAAGAGATGGCTCAGTGGTTAAGGCACTAGCTAGATCTGAGTTAGGAACCCAGTGCCCACATAAAAGGCTGGGTGTGGCCATGTACAAGCTTATGACTCCAGCACTCTGGAGGTAGAGACAGGAGGATCCTTGGCCTGGCTCCAGGTTCAATGAGAGATCCTGTCTCAAAGAAATAAGGTGGAAATCAGTTTCCAGTACCCATGTTGGCAGCTCACAACAGCCTATGACTCCAGCTCCAGGGGATCTGATGCCTCTGGCCTCTTTGACTACCTGCACTCACATGCACCTATCCACACATGTACAAACATACAGACATGTAACTAAACATAATAAATCTTAAAAACTTCTTTGGAAAGATAATAGAGTTTTCTTTATTTCTTCTATTGATGTCCTCTGCATGCACACACCTGTACACACATGTGCATGTTTCTCAACACACACGGCAAAACTCCTCAGTGAAGGGCATTTACTTTTCAAGGTATTACATTAGCTAAGTTTTCAGGAACTCTAAGCTACCCAAAACTATCATTATCAAGTGTGTCTTCATTTCAATATATTTAAAGAGCTTAGACTACAGCTTTGTAAGTCATTAATTCATCATTTGCATCAAAAGCATACACATGCACAGCAACCACAGTATTCAAGTTCCAATTTGCCATTGAAACAAGGCTCACATTACAGAATGGATTAAGCTAGAACCATTAGAAGAAAACTATTATCTTTCCAAAGAAGTTTTAAGATTTATTATGTTTAGTTAAATGTCTGTGTGTATGTATGTGTATGGCTAGGTGCATGTGAGTGAGTGTGATGCCAGAGGCATCAGATCCCCTGGAGCTGAAGTCATAGGCTGTTGTGACCTGACAACGTGGGTACTGGAAACTGAACTTGGGTCCTCTGTCAAGAGCAGTATGTGCTCTTAACTGAGCCATCTCTCCAGCCCCAAATTTTTTAAAATCAATTTTGACTCTTGGTGCTACAGTAAAGCTCATGCTACCCTAGCTAGAACCATCAGCCCAAGCTTTTAACACAAGTTTGCAGTGGAGGGTACAACTGGGAGGTAGTCACAACAAAAGTTTGTATCCAGAACACTAAGAATCGATGCCCTCCAGGAAGCTAGTAATTGCACTGGTCGCTTTCTAGCACATAGAGATGCATAAATACTATCATTCTATAGCACTGTCAGAATGTGGAAAAAGGTGGGACTGGAGAGGTGGTTCAGTGGTTAAGAGCTTTACTGCTCTTCCGGAGGTCCTGAGTTTGGTTCCCAGCACCCACATCAGCAGCTTATAACTACCTGTAACTGCAGCTCCAGGGGATCCAACACCTGTGACCTCTATGGGCACATGGCACACACAAACACAGATGTACACATAATTTAAAATAATAAAAATAGACGGGCATGGTGGCACACGCCTGTAGTCCCAGCACTTGAGAGGCAGAGGCAGGCAGATATCTCTGAGTTCAAGGCTAGCCTGGTCTACATAGTGAGTTCCAGGACAGCTGGGGCTACAGGGAGACCCTGCACCAAATTCAATTTACCAATAATTACTAAGGATATTTTTATCTATGACCATGAGTGATATTGGTATAAAGTTTCTTACAAAATAAGACATGGATGCTGGGCGTGGTGGCACACGTCTTTAACCCCAGCACTTGGGAGGCAGAGGCAGGAGGGATCTCTGTGAGTTCAAGGCCAGCCTGGTCTACATAGTGAGTTCTAAGACAGCTGGGGCTACAGGGAGACCCTGCCTCAAAAAGACATATATATATATAATTTTTATTTTATGTGTATGAGTGTGTGTATTGCCTGCACGTAGGTAGGTGCACCCATGCCGTGCAATGCCTCAGAGGTCAGAAAAGAGTGTCGAATCCCCTGAAACTGGAGTTACAGACTGTTCTTAGCTGCCATGTGTATGCTGAGAATCAAACCTGAGTCCTCTGCAAAAGCAGCCAGTGCTCTTAACTGTTGAGCCATCTCTCCAGACCCATAAATGTAACTTTTTTAAAAGCCATGTACAAAACTAAATTTTTTTTTGGCCTTTTTAAGAAAGGGTCTCCCTGTAGCCCCAGCTGGCCTGGAACTCACTATGTAGACCAGGCTGGCCCTGAACTCACAGAGATCTGTCTGCCTCTGCCTCCTGAGTGCTGGGATTAAAGGCATTGGCCACCATGCCCAATGAAAAGCTAAATTTTTTAAAACTCATCAAATTATGAAAAAAGTACATTTTTTAATAAAATTGTGATATAAGATTACTTCTTTGCAATTAAAGATCATTTCTATTTTCAAGGTAAAACTGGATTTCTAAGCCAGTTGTTTAGCATTTAATATAATTTTATGGAGAGATTGGTAAACTGTTCTTTAAATGTTTTCCTGCCATCTAATTAGAGAATATTTATAAGCTACTTGCTCCGTAATTGGTTTGCCTGGCTGTTTTGTATTTGGTCTGAGATAGTCTAAGGAAGAAAATATAGACATAGGATGGCAAAAGCTTCTTTCTTCTTGAGTTCTATATATATAATATACATGTAAATTATGTTATATAATAAAATTATTACTATATTTTTATTGAAGATAAACTTATCAAAAAAGAGGTAACAAATCTCACACTGAAGAAATTAAACATGTTCACTTTCCTCCTTGAGTTCCTTATCTGTTTATTATAATTCACTCCCTGGCAATAACGAACTTTGATCTTTATCCTTTCATTCTATATTTGAATAGTTTAATTTGAATAATACATCTAAGCACAGCATGTAGATGTGAGTCATGTGGTAAATGTCAGCTCCTTTCTGAGCAACAGTTTGAACACATTCTTAAGAAGTTATCATAAAAATCAGATTTTGAGAAAGTGCTGTATTAAATTAAAACCTAGCAAAAATAAGGCATTGAGAGGCTTGGGAAAATGGCTCAAGTCAGTAAAGTGCTTGCTATAACAAATATGAGGACCTGAGTTCAGATCTCAAGCATCCAAGTAAGAAGCCTCACATGTTGGCATGGCAGTGTGTGTGTCTATAATCCCAGTGCTGGGTGTTGGGGGGTGGCTGGTTGAGAGCTTGCTGGCCAGCCAGCTGAGCAGAATTGGTGAGATCCCAGGTACAGGGAGAAACTATCTTGGTAGAGGGCTGGCAAGATGGCTGAGTGGGTAAAGGCACTTGCCGCCAAGCCTAACAACCTGAGTTTGATCCCTGGGATCCACATAGTAGAAGGAGAGAGCCTGTCCTCTGACCTCCACATACAAACTATGGTATATATACACAAAATAAATAAATAAATGTAACAAAAATTTTTTTTAAATGTGGAGAGCAACTAATGAAGATACCTGAAGTCTACCTCTGACCTATACACACACACGCACACACACACACACACACACACACATCCACACAAAGGCATCGGGACCAAGGATATGACTTTCATACCTGAAGTCTACCTCTGGCCTTCACACACACATACACACAAAGGCATTGGGACCGAGGGTATGACTCAAATGCTGCCCCGGCTGGCAATTGTGGGGACTCCACTGTGTTATATTTTCTTTAAAAAATTTATTTTTAGAGCCAGGCATGGTGGTTTGTGCCTTTAATCCCAGCACTCGGCAGACAGAGGCAGGCAGATCACTGTGCGTTTGAGGCCAGCCTGGTCTACATAGAGAGTTCTAGGCCAGCCGGGACTATAGGGAGACCTTATCTCAAAAAGACCCCCAAATTTTTATTTTTGGTTATTTATTTTTATTTTGTGCGTGTGAGTGTTTTGCCTGCATGTATTGAAGTACATCATGTGCATGCAATGCCTGCAGAAGCCAAAAGAAGGCATTAGATCCCCTGGAACTGGAGTTACAGACGGGTATTTGCCACCATGTGGAAACTGAGCCCGGATTCTCTGCAAGAGCAGCCGGTGCTCTTAATAGCTGAGCCATCTCTTTAGCCCCAGTGAGTTGTTTTTTGTTGTTGATGTTTGTTTGTTTTGTTTTGTTTTCTTTGAGATAAGGTCTCCCAATGTAGCTTTAGTTGGCCTGGAACTTGCTATGTAGTCCAGGCTGGCCTCAAACTACAGCGTTCCAACACCACATTTGGCTAAGGTTTTGTTGTTGTTGTTTGTTTGTTTAAAGCCAGTCAAGTTGGTGCTAGCCTGTAATCCCAGCACTTGGGAGGTGGAAGCAGGAGGATCAGGAGTTCAAGGTCATCCTTAGTGCTATGGGGGTGAGTGGTCTTAAAACAACAAAAGAAGTGAGAAAAATTACTCAAAATAC